AATCATTTGGAAAGGGAGGTAAGTGTCTTCAAGACTGCCACCAAAGTTTTAACCAAGGCCATTTGTCTCATTAGGTACTAATATTCCACATAAATTTTTTTGAAGAAAGAGTTCTATTACTTAAAGAAAAATGGCTTGAAATCCATGGGGCTATATTAGGAGTTATGCAAAGATAGTTTGTGCTGCCACCTCTCTTTGCAATTAAAGTTGTATTGACAAAGAGCCATACCATTAGTTTATGCATCACCTATGGCTGCTTTTGTGACAATGGGTAAAATTGGTTAATCATAACAAGGACCTTATGTGACCCACAAGACCTAAAATATTTGTTAACTAGCTCTTGATAGAGAAAATTAGATAGATAAAAATTTGCTGACGCCTGATTCAGACAATATACTACAGAAATCTATATAAGCTCCCCCAATAACTTCATGTCTCAGCTCTTCAGGTTTCAGAAGTATCCTCTAATGCCACAGGCTAGACAAGATGCCCCTCTAATATGCCTCAACAGTTTACTTACTCCTATCTTACTTCTTTACATTTTATATTATAAATGTCCATTTACGTACCCGCTTTTCACAGGCTTAAGTGCAGTGGTAATGTCAGTCTCATGACGCATCAAATCCTCAGTACATAGCATAGTGCCTGGGACATAATAAGTGCTTAATAAATGTTTCTTGAATAAATGATGTATAATGAAGAGTCAGTGCAACAAATATTTATTAAGTATTTATTACATGCTGGACACTTTTTGAAGTCATGAGAATACAGTAGTGAACCACACAGGTAGATAATTCTTATCAGGCAGTTTACAATACACTGGAGAAAGCAAACTGCAAGCAAGAAGAAGAAAGTAAAATATGTTTGAGAATGATAATTATCAAAAAGAAAACAATAATGCCAGGAAGGCATATAAAATGTTAGCTCTGGGGATAGGAGGTGTTGGATTAAAACTTTACATAAAGTGGCCAGAGAAGAACTCAAGTGAGGAGGTACCCATGGGCTAAAGACTTAAAGTTGTTAATTAATCTAACCTATAATAATTTAAGTGAGATTTGGCACTGTGTATAGAAGGGAGAAAATAATTTCAGGCAAAGAGAAGAAAATGAGAAACAGTCTCCATGTAGAAAGGACCTTAGCACATGTAGCAAATTGAAAGACACTCACAAAGCCAACAGTTATATGATTCTATATTTCTTAGAAAAAACAATAAAGAGATTGAAATGTCAGAAGTGCAAACAGTTTCAAAGAAAAAAAAAGAGATCAGAGAGTAAGTAAGTTACAGATATCACATAAAGACCTGAGTTCTAGCATTTCAAATAAGAATCAACTGGGATTCATTATGTGTTGAACCACTAACCAAAGACCATTGTCTATTATTTTCTTCTGTTGAATTTAAGATATTTATAGATTCTATAGATGTCTCAGTCCATTTATACACTGCTACAAAGACTGCCTGAGACTAGGTAATTTACTAAAAAAAAAAAAGGTTTAACTGACTCACAGTTCATCATGGCTGTGGAGGCCTCAGGAAACTTACAATCGTGAGGCAGAGAAGGGGAAGAAAGGCACATTCTTCACAAAGCATCAGAAAGGAAAATGAATGCAGGAGGAATTACCAAGCACTTATAAAATCATCAGATCTCCTGAAAACTCACTCATATCATGAGAGCAACATGGAGGAAACTGCCCCCATTATTTAATTACCACCACATGGTCTCTTTCTTGACACATGGCGATTATGGGGATTATGGGAATTATAATTCAAGATGAGATTTGTATGGGGACACAAAGCCTAACCATAGCAATAGAGAAAACATGCAGGAATTGGTCAGGAATTGATAAACAGCAGTTTCTACTGATAGACCATAAACACTAACTTCTTCATACTAACTCCCATAAGGCAACTCAACTGTATAGTCTGAGAACTTAGTAAAATGTTGGGGGAGTGAGAAACTGCAGGAATTCATTATTATGTTCTTTTTTTTGTATGATTTATGTTATTATAGATATGGCTCTAGGAAGAATTCCCCCCAAGAAATTTATCTTACTAGAAAAAGGAGAAGATAAGTATGCAGATAGAGAAAGCATATGATCTAATTAGAAGAAATGATATGAGTTATTGTGAAATGTGCAGATTCCAGAATCAGCATGAATGGGTTCAAATCTTGGATTCCGACACTTTCTAAGTGAGCCCAGTCATTTATTTATCTGATATTTACCCAGGTTCTTTTGAAGGGGAAAAATGATAATTGCCTCATCGGGTTAGATATGGTCTTAAAAAGAGTACCTGGCATGTAATAAGCACAATGTTATTGTTTCTTCTAAAATTATCATTGATCATATTAATTTTGGAATGTTTATTAAGTACCCAAATGAATGCATAAACTAGACAGTTTGGGCCTCAGGGAGAGATATAGGGGGAAGATATAGTTTTGTTTGCCATAGGCACATAGATGTCATTTAAAGCAATAAAAGTACAGACGCATAAAAGAGTATGTCTAAGGACTGAACTCTGGAGCATCCTGGCAATGATAGATCTTAGAGATAAGTCTGTGTTCAATATTTCCCAAATTGAGGTATAGATTTAATGTGCCCCCAATCAAGATCCCACGTGCATTTTTTGCAGATATTGATGAGCTTATCTTATGTAACTCATGTAAATTTAAAGGACCTAGAACAGCCAAACCAATAAAAGAAAAGAATGACTCTCCCTTTTCTATTTCAAAACTTATCACAAAGTGATAGCATTCAAGACAGCATGGTGCTTGGATACTTTTAAATGTATTAATTGATAGAATAAAATTTAGAGAACAGGAATAAACTGATAAAGCTATGGTCAATTGAACATAGGAAATATTGAATCATCTTTTCATCAAATGGTACTTGGACAACTGGAAATAAATGAACATAAATGCAAGAGCATACTTTGGAATTATGGAAGTTCTATCTAAAACAGAGAAATATTGACCAATGATTGGTGAAACAAAGGAAAAGAGATTTAGCAGGGCTTCTCATGCTCCCTGATTCAGTATGAGGATCTGTGAGATTTTTCTGTAGACATCAAGGACCATGTCCATATTATGTTAGGCTCTTTCCAAGATGGATACCTGTAGTGACAGCAGATTTTGGCAGAGAAATTGTGGATATTAGAATATGCCTAGGTCCTGAAGACAATGTTAGAAAAGACCCAGAAGAAAGATTCATTCTCTCTTCTTCTGGCTACCATCTATCTGCTCTTCAACATCATCCTTCTACTTTAAAATAAATAAATAAATAAATAAAGACCTTGGTATTTGCCAGAACATGGATGGACCTAAAAGACATCACACTAAGTTAAATAATCCAGATATAAAGACAAAGATTCTATGATCTCATATGTGAACTATATAAATAAGGGGCTCCAACAGACAGAGGTAGAGAATGAAACATTGTGGATGGGAGAAGAAATGGGGAGATGTAAGTCAAAAGATACAAAATAACAGATATGTAGGATGAACAAGTATAGAGATCTAATATACAGGGGGACTAAAGCCAATGAAATTATATCATGCATTTATGTTAAATAAGATTTTAGCTGCTATTGTCATATACTTAAAAAAGTAAGAAGAGAGATATACGAATCATTTTCACATTGTAACCATACATTATATATGTATCCCATAATAACACGTGGTAAACCTCAAATATAAAAAATAAAATTTCTTTAAAATAAAAAAAAAATCAATCACACTTATATATACTAAGATTGGACATGTGGAAATCAAAATTAAACACATGATACTATTTACAGTCACTCAAAAGAAAATATAATACCAAGGTGTAAACAAAATAGAGAACAGAAGGTGGGTACAAACATTAAAAATCCAAATATATTTCTAAAATTTACAAATTATAAAAATATATTTGACAAGGGAGGAACAGATTAGACATATATGTAGATGCATCTTATAAACAGGGCAGAGTGAAACATTAAATATTGACAATGGATACATAAATTGAAAACAAATGCCCACAAACAATAAAAAACATGTATTGACACTCATACAGAGGAAAGGATGCACATCAAATGCATTACAATGATTGCCAATGTAGACAAGAGAAAACAGGGTCATGAAAACAAAGCTGAGTGAATGAGTAAATAAACAGGAGAGGATCTTGAGCAATTAACTCAAGGAATATAACTCAGCCTTCTACACTTGATGCCAAAACCACTTTATTGTATTCTCTCTAATAAAAACAATATTTTTTTCAGGGGAAGTATCCTTTATCACTGATATTCTATAGAAATGCTGGTGTATAGAAGTGGTAATAAAAATACCAACTTTCAGTTGTATTCTTGTATTAAAATTCTCTGTAGACAATGCTTCTGTTTGTTGCCTGCAGTAGTCACAGGCCACTCCCAGTGTCCCACACTTGGTAGGTGACTACTGTACCTGGAGTTTCCTAACAAGTGTCCCAGAATTGGGTCCACATCCTCCAAAAACCATTATTTTAGTGTGTGTGGCGTGCTGTCTTACTTTCTGTAGGGTAAGGTTTTTGGTCCTTTTGAGGGCCTTCAGTGGCTCACAGCATTGGGTGAGTTACAAAATGCACAACTATGAGGTATGTGTCTTGGAGGTGGTGATTTTGATGTCTTCATTTTGGAAAGAGTGTCACTGTCACCTACATACAATACAGATCTTTTTATGTGCTCTTCTAAACATGCACATGCTCCAAGAAACACCAAATCCTTTTCCTCCTCTCCTATGAGATAAAATTTTAAGAAGAAAATTTGTCTCCAGGAATGAGTCCTTCCCCCCGTCCTTATTTACAATGTCTGGCTAACCTGTGTGTCTGTCCACCAACCCTACAGGATATCTCAAATCTCTCTCTTCTCAAATGCCTATCTTCCCTTCCCTTCCTCCCCACCATCAGAAAACAGGCAGAAATATACACAGTTATCAGCTCACCAAACATGATTTTATTGTAATCATTGCCATCAGTGGTGATGATTTTACCAATTTGGTTTCTCCAGGTGTGACTAATCCTCCCCACCCTCCTATGGATATGCCTAGGTCTCCGTTCTCTTGGATTGGATCAGTGGAGTTCTCTGGGGGCTGGTTATTCTTCAGTTTATTTCAATTTCTTTTCTTTCTTTTTTTTCTTGCTGCCTTTTACTTATTTTTAATTTTGTTTTATTTATTTTTTATTTCTGAATATCTTTTCTTATTCTTCTTGTAGTAAAACACTAATTTTGGCTATTTTGGTTTTTGTGTTTCTTTCTAACTCTGTTCAGGGGCTGAAACTCTGTCTATAACATTTTCTTCTGGTAAGAAAACAGGGAGAGGCCAGAAAGGCATTATTTTGGGTGAATAGGATAGACACTAGATAGCAAGGAGGGATTTATAAGAAGAAACACAGGTTTAGGAAAGGGCTTGTGCCAGAGAAAAACAAGGTGGAATCATAGGGTAGGGATCTATGGGGAAGAAGAGGAGCATGAGTAAGGTCATCTGTGTTAGTCCAAACTGCACTATTTTGTAAGCTCACTGCTATTTTGAGGACTTGTTCAAAGTGAAACATTCCATGGGGGTTGAGGCCATGAGAAACATCCTGCCTAACCACCTGACTACAAGGTGGACAAAGGCCCAAATAAGAAACATCACTATTATATCTTGCTGGTCAAAGGTCCAAAAAACACCACAATTACATCCCACTGGAAAAAGGACCAAACCACCTGATCATAGGAATATCTTATCAATATCCTGCCAGACAGCTAGCCATACTGCCCAGGCCCCTCCCAACCATACCTATAAGTAACCCAGCCTGTAAATGGTGGTGGGCTTTGCCATTAAGCTGGTCCCCCACTTTTGCAGCTGTCAACAATAAACCTGTATTGCTATTTTAGCCATCTCCTCTCTGTGTGTCTTTCTTTAACTGTTGCCTTCCCTTCAAAACCTAAAATTTTGGTGCCAAAATCTGGGATGGGGATTGGATTTTATCAGATAAGTCTTCTCTTGCAACCCTGAAAGCATCAAGCAGCAAAAACTAGACCTGAGCTGGCTTCCATATCCTGAATGAACTACCTGTTCCCAGCCCCAGCCCCGTTCCCCTTATTCTCTCATCTTTTCCAGCCCTGGGCTGACCTCCAGGTCCTGATCAAACTCTCCATCCTCTGTTTGCTTCCTTCTTCTTTACAGGTGGCTCCAGTAAGGATCACCCCCATTGCTGGACCTTACATCAAACACCAGGCTCCAATTAGTAGGTGAATCTCCCTTTTCCACCTTTCCAGATTTTTCTCTATTTCTACTGGTACTCTAGAAAATTTTAGCAGTGGGTTAGAGGTCTCCCTGGTCACCAGGTGACCGCAGCCTGCCTTCTCAGGGAATGCCTTCAGAACGCTCACCATTCCAGCCACTCTGGCCCCCAAAGGACCACGAAGAGCTGCCACAGCTCTTTGGTACACCCCAGCTCTCTTATGTCCATTCTCCTGGGAGGAATTAGGTACTCACTTTTTTCCAGGGTATTCACTCCCCTCCGGGATACTCACTATTTTCTGGGATACTAACTCCTCTCTGGGTACTCACTTTCCTTTGGGGTATTTATTACCCTCTGGGGATACTCATTCCCCTCTGGGGTATGCACTCCCCTCCTACAAAAAACAAAGCTTGTAACTTCCAAATTGAACATAATCTAAAAAACTTTCTTTAATGCAATGGTAAAGGATCCAAAGTGCTTTGCATAATCTGTTCATGGTTTGCTCTCTCTCTCTGCCAATCCTGTTCACCTTTCCAAATCCTCCTCAACAAATAACTCACAAAGGCACCTCATCCTCAGGACAAGGCTTTCCTCTAATTTTCACCTGGCAAACAAAACCCCTCCCTCTGTCCCCCTCCCAACACCATTTCCTCCTTTTCCTTTGGCTCCGGCTCCTTCACCCCTTACTGTTGTCCTCCATCCCCTCTTCATTCTCTACCACACACCAGGTTTCACATGCAACCCCTATTGCTGAAAACCAGGCACACACCCAAAAGCCTTCCAAAGTCCTTCCCTTGCAGGGGATTGTGAGGGCCAACTGCATAATCTGAGATCATGTTGCCATCTCTCTAGCCAACCTCTCCCATATTAAAAAGAGACTTGATTCCTTTTCCAAGGACACATCTCTTTCCACAAGGAATTTTTGTATGCCACTCAATCTTACAACCTTACTGGCAAGACATTTATGTAATTCTCTCTTCCACCCTCTCCATGGAGGACAGGGAATGCATCTAGACAGCTGTCCAGGCCCATGCAAATACCCTCCACCAACAAGATGCTGCTCATAACCCAATAGGGACCATAGCTGTCCCCAGAACTTACCCCAATTGGAGTTATCAGACAACTTTCATAGACAGACAGAAACAAGGCCATATGATATCATGCCTTCTAGCTGGCATAAATAAAGCTGCCTGTGCTCTTTTCCTCTCCTGCCTTTCAAAGGCCATAAGTAAATATATCAGAATACTAATAAGGGCAAAATCTACATTTACACTTTATCTCCCAGTCAGCCCCTGACATCCAAAAGAAACTTTAAAAACTGGAGGATGGCCCTCAAACCTCCCAAAGACAGTTAATTTAAGTGGCATTTGAGGTCTTTAACAATAGAGAGGAAGAACTGAAAACCAGAAAATCTAAAAAAGGACAAGGCTAAATACCAAATGCTGGCAGCTGCCATTCAACAGAGTTCCCAATGCATACAGAAGTCCTCAATGTTGCAACAGTCAATGCCAGGAGCTTGTTATAAGCATAGCCAATGGGGACACTGGGAAAAAGCCTGTCCTAATCCCAGGACCCTGGAAACCTTGCCCCATCTGTGTGGTATCAAGCAACACTGGAAGTCAGCCTGTGCTCCGTGAAACTCTTAATCCTGCTTCACTACCTCTAACTGAAGACTGACAGGGCCTGGAGTCGACTGCCCCCACCACCATCAGCACCTTGGAATCCAGGGTAACACGGTCAGTCTCTGGTAAGCCCATGTCTTTTCTATTAGATACAGGAGCTAGTTATTCAGTTTTACCAGAATATTCTGGACCTCTGCTCAGTTCCTCTATCTCTATTGTGAGAGTCAATAAAATATTCTCGGTACAAACAGACTGTTCATTTAATATACAATCTATTCAACAACCCATTTCACCCACTCCTTCCTCAGTTATCCCTCAGTTCCCTACCCCTATCTTGGGGTGGGACATATTAAGTAAGTTCAAGGACTCCGTTCAGTTTGCCTCCTATAATTCTACCCCTTTTATTTTACTCTGCCACCCAAATGCTTCCCACTCTTCTCCCTCTCATCTTCATTATCTACCCTGTTACCTTCTGTTAATTCTAAAGTTTGGAACATTCCTAAACTCACAATCGCTACACATCACATCCCAGTTAAAATAACCCTTCAAAACCCCTCCATTTTCCTTCATCAGTCTCAGTATCCCCTTAACCCAGCTGGCCTCAGGGCCCTCAAACCTATTGTCTGTAAACTTTCACAAGCTCAAATTCTCAAGTCTGTCAACTTTTCCTACAACATCCTATCCTGGCTGTCCAAAAGACAGATGGGTCTTACCTCTTGGTTCAGGATCACCGAGTTGTTACCCAGGTGGTGGTACCAATACATTTGGTGATCCCCAAGCCATATAATCTACTCTCTCATATTGCCCAATCTACCACACAATTCTCTGTATTGGATCTAAAATATGCCTTTTTCAGTATTCCATTAAATCTGGCTTCCCAAAGTTTTTTTGCTTTCACTTAGTCAAATTCCAATACTCACATGTTCACCCAACTAACATGAACTGTACTCTCACAGGGGTTCTAGGATAGTCCCCACCTATTCAGATAGGCCCTCATCAAGGATCTAGTTGAACTTCCCTTTCCTCCTAGCACCCTTCTCCAATATGTCAATGACCTCCTTCTCTGTAGCCCCTCTCTTAACCTGTCCATCCAACACACCACTCAGGTTTTAAACTTCCTCCATAATTGAGGATTTTGAGTCTCACCCAACAAAAGCTCAGATATCCCAAACCCAAGTTACTTACCTTGAGTTTGTCCTAACCCCTAATTCTTGAGCCATCCCAACCCAACAAAATGAGCTAATTAGGGACATGTCCTTTCCCCACGCAAAAAAGGATCTCCTCTTCTTCTTGAGCCTCATGGGATACTTCCAGCTGTGAATTCCCAATTTTCATTTGCTGGCCAATCTACTTCACTGGGTCTCTCACATGGGCCAATGGCAAAACACTTGAACTCAGTTTGCCTCATCAGCTCCCACTTTTAAAAAAATCTAAAAAAATCCCTTTTAATGGACCTAGTGCTGGGACTGCCCAACCCTACCAAGCCCTTTACTTTGTATGTACATTCTGACCAAGGCCTTGCTCTTGGACTACTCTGCCAAAGATAGAGCAATGCCCCACAAGCTGTTTGTATACCTCTCAAAACAACTGAACTCTATCATCCAAGGCTGATCACTCTGACTAAAATTCTTAGGTGTGGTCACATTGCTTGTCTCAGAGGCACAGAAACTCACTCTCTACCAACACATTACTATTGCATCTTTCCATAACCTCCAGGACCTCATAAACCATTGATCTCTTCTATCCCTCTCACAATCCCACTTACAGCAAGTACACACCTTATTCATAGGTAACCCTCTAATCACCTTCCAGAGACATAAAACTCTCAACCAGGCCACCCTCCTCCATGTCAATATCTCCAACTCTAAGCTCTCTCACTCCTGCCTGGACCTCTTAAACTCCCTCTCCTCCCCCTTCCAACACATTTCAAAAGCCCCTTTGCTGAGAACGCATACATGGTTAACTAATGAAAGCTCTTTAAGGGAGCCATGTCCAGCAGCTGGCTATTCCATCACTGCAGAAGATAAACTCCTAGAATCCAATGCTCTCCCACTCCATGCTACCTTTCAACAGGCAAAGCTAGAAATCCTAACCAGGGCTCTCACTCTAGCAAAGGGAAAGAGGGTTAACATTTACACCCTTTCCAAATATGCATAGCACATACTACACTCTTGCACCTTAATCTGGCAGGGGGGTTTTCTAACTACAAAAGGAACCCCCGTAAGAAATAGTAAGCTTGTACACAACTTGCTGGAGGTGGCTGAACTACCACTGAAGGCTGTCATTAACCACTGCAAGAGACATCAAAAGGCTACAGATGCCATAACAAAGAAAAACTTCTCAGCACATTTGGCAGCCTAGCACCACCAAAAAGGCACACACCATTGCTTCTATTCTCCTCACCCATATTATACACTGGTTTCAACTCCCCTCTTGCATCCAGACAAGAGGCCATTGTTGGTTTTACAGGTTAAACAACAGATGGCAAAGGCCCTAAACATTAAATGGGTCTTCCATATTCCTTACCACCCCCAATCTTCAGGAAAAATTTTAAAAAAGAAAAAAATCCAAACACTCCCTAGAGGTTAAAATGGCCCAGACTTCACTTCTTCCATTTGTCCTCATGCGTTTACGAGCCATTTCCCAAAAGCCCCTCAGCCTAAGACCTACTCTCCCCAGCCCAAAAGTCCATCCTCAAAAGACACCTCTCTGTCCCTACAACCGTGGGTCTGGGTTTGAATCACAGACTCCTCTTTCTCAAACCTATGCGGCTGTGTCCGCACCAGGCTATCCTAACTACTCCTATAGTGGCAAAGCTAACATCCTTTCCACACTAAGTAACAGCATTCCAAACTAAAAAGAGCACCAGATCTACATCCAGAAATTGCCTCACCCCCAAATTATTCTCACTCTCTCACAGGACCAACCTCACTGCACTTAACAAGAATTCCGGAAGTTGCCATTCTGGAAGGCCCTAGTCCATAATACTCCCTGCTTCCAATTTTAAGTCTTTTCTCTCAGACTTTGTTTCAGATCTTCCGTGGTTTCCCTTCCCCATGTCCCTGGAGAGTCCATGCCAATTTCTCACGCTAATCCAGGAGGTATGACTGCAGGGCACCTTCCAACATTTCACTCCTACTCGAATCTCCTTTTTCTCCTTTTGTCCACTTTGTCTGTGGGAAACTCTTAAGTTCCCACCCCTAACCTTTATTAATTGAGCCCCCTTTCTCAGCCTCACACATTGCCTCTGAAATCATTGACACTTCCCTCTTACTTACAATAGTTAAATTTGTTTGTCCACACAAATCCAGCAGCTCACAGCCCTTCCTGCCAACCTGGCCACATAAATCCAGTCCAAAATAAACCTGCATCTCACCTACTCAGCTAATTCATCCCCAAAACCCGTTTATAATCTTGCTCGGCTAAACACCTTCCCCCCAATCCATCAAATCCACCCACGTCCTCACACACAGGGCTGTCACCCTCCTTCGCTTCATAGCCTCTTAACTAAGGTTACAAGTCAGATTCCATAAAACACCTCTTGCCAACCCCTCCCCTCTCTGCCAGCCCTGCTGTCCATGTATCCAATGCAAGGGCGCTCCCTGGAAAAAATGCACAAACAATTCCTTCAACTGCAACCTTTAGCCTTCTGCCCTGTCAGGACCATAGTGGCTATTAATTATTAAGGTCATTTATCTTTCTCTCTCCAAAAACAAACAGCCTTCACCTCCTCCCCCACTAACATTTTCTATCAAGACCTCAGCTGCCTTAGTGGTAGCTATTCTATTTGGAAAAACATAAAAGTTGAAACAAAAGTTTTGTCCAGAATTCAACCCCCCGTTCTCATGGCTTGCCACCATAACTCACAACTTTCGTCTATCCACCCCCAGTGTCTTCTTCCTTTTCGGCACAGACTCTCATCTCTGCCTAGTGGCCAGTTGGTCAGGAACACGCACCCTGGTGTTTCAATCTAAACATTAACATTTTGCTGAACAACCAGACCATCCAGGTTCCTTTAGTAGCTTCTGTTTCATTTTCTTCCATACACACTAAGCAGGCTCTATAGCTCATTGTAGTGTTAGCAGAACTAAATATCTCTGCTGCATTCAGTACTAGGATAGCAGGTTGCCCCTTTCTTAGGCCTTAATCTTCTGCTTCCTGTTATTAACAATTGGCCCATGTATACCTATCTTCATATCCCACTTTATCTCCTGAAGGCTAACCTCCCTTGTACAGGCAGCCACCCAGCAACACATCAATACCATCCTTCTCCTCTGCCAAGTGCAGTACCAGTGCCTCCAGGGAAACAACTCTCAAGTCGAACGCCCACTGCTTCAAAACCCAAACCCTGATTACAGCACCCCTCTTCAGCAGGAAGCAGCCAGATAATCAACAACACCCCTCTTCCTCTTATGCTAAAGTAGAAGGCAAGAATATTAGTCTAAGCTGCAGGATTTTGTAAGCTCTATTCTGTTTTGCAGAGCTCAAAGTGAAACATTCCACAGGAGTTCCGGCCATGAGAAACATCCCACCTAACCACCCGACCACAAGAAATGCCCAACTAAACAAACATTCTTACCATACCTTGTTGGACAAAGGTCCAAGAAACACCATGGTGGCATCCCACCATGAAAAGGGCCAAACTGCCTGATCATAAGAACATCTTATCAATATCTTGCTGGGCAGCAAGCCATACTGCCCAGGACCCTCCCACCCATACCTTTAAGTACGCCAACCTGAATGTTGTGGTGTGCTCTAGCATTAAGTTGACCCTCATTTCTGCAGGTGTCCGCAGTATACCTGTGTGGCTGTTTGAGCTGACCCCTATCTGTGTGTCTTTCACCTTCACCTTTCCTTCAAAACCTAATTATCTGACCTTGTCAACTTTTTTGTTCTTGTATTCACGGGGGCTTTTCATTGTATTCCCTTTGGTACTTGAAGTTGTTTGTTCCATGATTGTGTTTGGTTGTAGAATTTCTATGCTAGGCTCTTCTAGGGTGCAGATTTCCACAGCTATATTGAAGGTTTCCAGTGGCGTGGCCCAGAGCTCTTGCCGTCTCTATGGTGAGCAAGACAAAGCTACACCCTTGAGCTTTGTTTGATCATCCAAGCAATGTTCCACCCAGTGGTAGTCTAGGGTGGCTTTGACCTCACAAAGTACCACCCCTGCCAACTCCCTGGGCTTTGGGGGGAAAGGACGAAAAGGATGTAGAGAAACCAAATGCTGTTGTTGTTTCAACATCTCCTGAAGAGGCATCACAAACAGATCTGCCACTGCTCCTCATTTCTCCATGTTTAATGTTCATAGTTCACATGGAAGTGAGATGATGATTCCTTCAAGCCCTTCCCCATAGTCATTCCTATTAAGTAATTCATTTTCTTGTCTTCCAGCACTCATCATGTACTAGTATTTTGGATGTCTCACTTCAAATCCCTCCAAGCTAATGTGGCCCATTTATTTATTGGTGGAGATGTGAATTATCCCATTTTTCCCTCCTACAGTTCCTTCATATGCGCCTTGAAGACCATTAACTTTCAGGTTTCTTCCAGGCAAATTTCAATCCGTGTTCTTTTCTCCAATGTCCATGTAGTTCTCTTAAGTTTCCTATTTCTAGCATGAAATCAGCGCCTTCAGTCTGCCAGAACTTCAGTGAATAAACGTTTTTACTGGGTATCCTAGTCTTGTTTCAAATCAGGGGTGTGTGTTCATCACAAATGTAGTATCCCAACATGGATTTTACCAGTGTGTAGGGTGGGTGGAGGTATGGGTATACATGTGCTGGAAGTCGTTCTGAGTTTTTCCATGCAGAATACTATCTAACACCAACACGTACACCAGTGTGGGCATTGTTAAATTTTGTAATAGAGATTGTGTCCAGTGCAAAAAAAAAAAAAAAAAAAAAAAAAGACATTTAGCTGGAAGAGGAGAAGTAAAAGTATCTTTTGTCAAAGACTACAGGAGATTCTGTGTAGAAAAGTCAGTCTTAAAAAAAGGCTTCGACGATAGAGGTTAGCAAGATTGCAGGTTAGGAGATCAACATTCAAATCAATTGTATGTTTACATATTAGAAGTTATATATTAGAAATTTATATATTATAACAGCCAATGTTCCAGCCAATGGTAGTACTAGGGTGAACTAGTAGTTAATTTCAACAACAGGAATTTGAAATTAAGAACAGTGCAATTTAAAATATCACTAAAAATATTAAAGACCTAGGGATAAATCTGAACAAAGATGTAAATGACTTGTAAACTTAAAACTACACAAAATTGGAAAGATAAATTAATGACAAAAGAAAAATCGAGATGTATACTTTCATTCTCAATTAGAAGATTCACTATTGTATAATGTCAGTTATTTCCAAATTAATCTGTCTATTCAACTAAATCCTAATAAAAATTCTAAAAAGATTTTGTCAATTTCATGGAAATTGACAGGATAATTATAATATTCATATGGAAATGAAAAGGGCCTAGAATAGTCAAAAGAAAAGTGTTGAATCTTAAAAAGCTCTGGATTGTGTCAATGTAAATGTTCTAGTACTGAAAGTGTAACGTGGTAGTGTACTGAAGATTTTACTATTGGGAGAGACTGGTTGAAGGATACATAAGGCCTTCATGTACATATCTTTGAAACTTCCTGTGAACTTATAATTGTTTCAAAATAAAAAGGTAAAAATACTTTAAAAGAAAGAAAGAGAAAGGGCCAAAGATAGGGAAGGCATGGCCCTAGATTTCTCTCACAGGTTGACTCTTGTCCCATTCTCTATAGGAAGGCACAAAACTCAATAATGGAAAAAAAGAGGAGTAGAACTTAGATTTTTGTTCCACTGCTCATCAAGCTCACATGTCTTTATTTGATACACCATAAAATCAACAAGTCCTAGCAAAATACCCTGCAGATCTCCAAATACAACCAATTTATAGCATTCCCAAGAGTGCCATCTAAAATCTAAGAAACCAAAAGAACATTGTTATTAAGGTATACATTTTTCTTAGTGAACCCCAGATGTTTTGTAGAGATTAACTATTTTATTTATTAAGTGCTCACAAGCTAACTTCTAAGGATTTAATTTTTTTTGGACTCCTGCCTGCAATTAACAGTGAGAATATCACCCTGTCTTGTCATGTTACAAAAAACAAAAAACGAAAAGGCATACCACATCAAACAGGGTAGGTCAAAAACTGATTAAAATTGCTGAAAATAACAGCTTTCAATTATCTTATTACCTTTTATAATTGTTTTTTAAATTTGTTTACCAAAAAATGTTTTGATGGGTATATCACTATTCCTTTGTCATTTGTTTCAAGACATTTTTTCAATTTCCTTCTTAATTTCTTCATAGACCCACTGGTCAATCAGTAGTATATTGTTTAATAAATACATATAAATAAATACATACATGGAAACTTAACAAAACCTATGGGATACAGCAAAAGGAGTTCTGATATGGCATAGATCTGTGTTCCCACCCAAATCTCATGTTGAAATGCAATCCTCAGTGTTGGAGGTGGGGCTTGGTGAAAGGTGATTGGGTCATAGGGGAGGTTTCTAATGGCTTAGCACCATCCGCCTAGTGCTGTTTTAGTGATAGAGTTCTCCTAAGATCTGGTGTTTTGAATGTGTACAGCACCTTCACCATCTCTTTCTCTTCCTCTTGCTCTGGCCACAAGAGATGTCTCTATATTGCTTTGTTTTCCACCATGATTGTAAGTTTCCTGAGGCCTTCCCAGAAGCTGAGCAGAGGCAGAAGCCACCATGCTTACTATACAGCCTGCAAAACCGTGAGTCAATTAAACCTCTTTTCTTTATGAATTACCTAGTCTCCGATATTTTGTTATAGATGTGTGATACTTTCCAAAACTTACTATCTTTTTGATTTCTAGTTTTATTCTATTGTGGTCAGAGAAGATGCTTGATACTATTTCATTAGTTCTGATTATTTTAAGACTTGTTCTTTGATCTATCTGTATTAGCTCATTCTCATGCTGCTACAGTGACATACCCAAGACTGGGTAATTTTTAAAGGAAAGAGGTTTAATTGACTCACATTTCCATATAGCTGGAGAGGCTTCAGGAAACTTATAATCATGGTGGAAGTCACCTTTTCACAGGGTGGCAGAAGAGGGAATGAGTGCCGAAAGAAGGGGGGAGGCCCCTTACAAAACCATCATATCTCATGAGAACTTACTATTATGAGAGCAGCATGGGGGGAAACCACCCCCGTGACTCAGTTACCTCCCACTGAGTGCCAGCCATGACACATGGAAATTATTGGATTTACAACTCAATATGAGATTTGGGTGGTGACACAAAGCCAAACCATGTCATTACCATATCTTCTATCCTTGAGAATGATCCCTGTGGAGAGAAAAAGAATGTGTATTCTGTAGCCACTGGATGAAATGGCCCAGAAATATCTAATAGAGTCATTTGGTCTGTAATGCAGATTAAGGCCAATGTTTCTTTGTTGATTTTTTGTCTGGAGGTTTTGTCTAATGCTGAAAGTATTACAGGCTCCAGCTATTATTGTATTGGGGCCAATCTCTCTCCTTAGTGCTAATAATGCTTGCTTAATATGTCTGGGTGTTCCAGTGTTGGATCTATGCATATTTAAATTTGTTATATCTTTTTGTTGAATTGACTTCTTCATCTTCTTTATATTTTCCTATAGGTTTTGTCTAAAAATGTATTTTATCTGATATAAATACAGCTACTTTTGCTGTTTCTTGGTTTCCATTGGTATGAAATTTTTTTTTTATTCCTTTATTTTCAATCTAAGTGTCTCTTTGTAAGATAAATGTGTTTCTTGCAGGCAAAGGATCACTGGGCTTTATTTTTCCATTTATTCATCCGCTCTGTTTCTTGATTGGAGAGTTTAGTTCATTTACATCCAATGTTATTATTGATAAATAAAGAATTACTCCTTCTATTTTATTATTTGTTTTTTGCTTGTTTTGTGGTATTCTCTTTTTTGTTTCTTTCCTGTCTTCCTTTAAATGAAAGAGATTTTCACTGGTGATATAATTCAGTTTGGTATGTGTTTTTTGGTTTAAAGTTACCATTAGGTTTGCAAATACTATTTTATGACCTGATATTTCAGGCTTATAACAATTTTATTCTGTTTGCATAAGTAAACA